AAAAGCAATAGCGTAATCCCCAGTGTTATTCATTAGAGATTTTACAACTGTAAAGTAATAATCTGTGATCAGTGTGCAGCATCTAAGTCCAGCGCTGTGCTGGATTTGGATTTGTCCTGATGGATTTACTGCATGTATTGTTCTTGACAAATAACGCAATGCATTATTTTCTCTATTTATGCAGAATTTAAATTGGTCAGTTCAAATATTTACAGAATAATCTGCTTTTATATCATGCAGAAAGAAACAAAAATTGCATATTTAATCACATGTAAATCTTAAGTTATTTCAAAAAGAGTGGAATGTGTAGGGCACTGAATTTGTTGTTGGATAAGCAACAAGAAATCAATAAGATAAGAAAAGATTTTAAAAAGATATGGTATAGAAAATATATTTTTACAGTCCAGGTTCTGCTGGGATATACTTTCGAAAAGGCAATAACACGATGTCTTATAATTAAAAGTACCCAGTGAAGTTTTTGCCCTTGTGTGTCATCATGTCAGCACTTTTGTAGTGTTTATTTGTCTCATGTATGCTAAAAATGATGCACATGCATGCAACTATGTTCAATCTATCAACAAGTTCAGGGTTTTCATTTAAAAAAATCCAGCAATGATCTAGAGACAGAGAGGAAGAAATCTGCAACACAACTTTAAAACAACAAAAAATGCCCCTTGATTTTGTTTGTATAAAAGATAACCCCACGGGGCACCTTTAAATACTTTGTGAGTGTAAAAGACCTTTATCTAATGTGCTGCTGCAATTCTATCTACACAGCTCCTAAAAAGGCAGAAAAAAAAGATTAAGGATGTATTTTTAAAAGCTGCCCATACAAGTAGGTTACTCTATGTTTTACCATACACATGGAAAATGCACTCATGACATATGACACTACCATATAACAATGAGGGGCTTATAGGTCCAAACAATAGAGCAGGAGTGGTCCTGTAAGAGCACCAGAGTAGGAATGCACACACATAACCGAACACACTTTTCAGCTTCCCCAAAGGGGGGTCTCGCCCTAGCCAGTAATAACCCCTGGCAGCCATTTTTCTTCTTCATGTCCGTCCATTATGTAGGACTTTAACGGGTTTTCTGCTCCTCTGACAAAAGAAGGAGGATCTGACCATAGCTCACAACTACAGACAAGTGAGTTGTCAAAGCCATTGTAAATAAGCCCCCGTCATTGCCTGCAGAACAGAGCCCTGGAGTAAAAGACAGGAAACGAGGAGGGGGAAAAAAAAGCAAGCAAAAAGAGCTGAAAAGGTTCCATCTGTTTAAGTCTGCTGGATGGTGATGGGGACAGCCTTGCCTGTTTCTCAAACACGGAGCGTGAAGGACCCCCTCAAATGTCTGGAAGGCCATCCATGCATGAGGAGAGAGAAGATGACGGTCAAAGTGAAGGGCGCTCAGACGATCTTCATCTTTATGTATGCATGCATATAGACAGTGATGATTTAAAATAAAGACTTACATGTGATCAGCCATCATTTTTACCATTGTTATACCCTTTATACTAAAGAAATGATTCAATACAAAACAAGGAGAAAGGGTATCCAAAACTATGACTAGGTATATGATGATGAAGAGTCCTTAAGTTTCCTCATATTGCCCAACATCACAGAAACCATCTAAAGGCAAAAGGACATTTTCACCTAAGTGTCTATCATATAATAGCATGCTTTAAAAAAAAAAGTCAACACCAGTTATGCATCTAACCTTGGTATCTAAATGTTCCATTTGCAGCTCGTCTGGTGCAACTTAATAACAACACCTACAGACTTCCCTTGTTTAGTTTATTACTTATTAATCATGTAGGGCAATTTGGGCTTGAATACAGCCTACAAGCAGGTTTTTCTCTTCCTCTTGTGTGCTCTTACTTTAGGCAACTATAAAAGAAAAATCAACTGATCTGCCATGATTTCCTCATCAGGACCTCATCAAAGTCACTCCAGTGCAAGTGAGCATATCTGAATACGTATACAAAACACAGAGGCACGCTAAAATCCTCTTCAATTATCACACCGACCTTCCCAAGGGCACGACTTTCAACAGCCTTACGAACTGGACCACTAAACATTATAACACCTAACATCAGCTCTAACTAGGGTTTAATTAATATGTTACAGTATCAACACGACAATGTGCCCACGCTTTAAGAAAGACTAACCTCTTTCTGGATGATATAAGGTCAGATTAAAGTCTGGGTAATAAAGTCAGACTTTAGTGGTCCAGTTTGTAAGGTAATAAAGTCTGACTTTATTACCCCTAAAATCTTGATAACATTGTGTCTGAGGACTTTGGTCAGCAAACATGTTTTCGCTTTTACCTCAAACAAACACATTCTGATTCATTTTATTTTTAAAATGAATGACACACTGCTTTTATACTTGGTCACTACGTTCCAGACGTGGACCGCTACAATTTGAGATACTGCACAGATTACACTTTTCCCAAATCTTTCCTTCTGTGATAAACAAATCACTCTATACGGGGTGAAAGCAGCCACCCTGGAATTGTCAAATAATTGGTACCGGTTTGCGTTATTGTGAACACAAAGACATGGATGTTGAAATGGAAACAAAAGAAACCACCGGGCCACCTCAGCTTACCAAAACATGTCACGAAACACAGTTGTAAGGGATCAAATTCTCCCTGAGAGAAAATGTGAATTTGTTCGATATGGCACAAATCAAACACACATTTTATCTGCAGTATTACCTGTGACATACTTCCAATAAAATCTCAGAGTACTTTTTTTCTCGCAAAAAATATGGTGATATTTAAGTTCCTACTGACCAAAAACCCCTAGAAAAAAATCGCCACTTAGTATGCTCTTAAACTTCTTTCTTATAGCTGATTACAGCATGCCTGGGTCAATCCTTTCGTTCATCAAAAGACGCAAGTGAACTTAACACCTAATTCTATGACTCATTCATGATATCACTTTTTTCTTTCACAGCGGTATACATTTATCTTCCCAGAACCAACAATGCCATTCACACATCAGTCTCACATCATTCAGGTTCAAAGCAAAAGGTATATTACATCAAGCCTGCACTTCCATCATGTAAACAATCCACTTAAGGCTAACAGAAACTAACAGGCTTCTCATTTAATTACAACTTAGAGACCTTCCTGCTACATCTTACGCCATTATTTCACTATGATGCCTCGTGCAAAGTTCAAAGTGAGGCTGATAATGGTTTAATTACTGCGCTGTTAAGTAATGTGTTAAAGATTTCTGTTACTTTCAGCTGCTTTGTCTCTGAAATTTAATGAGATTTTCTGTGTAATCCCATTTCATCTGGATCAACCACAAAAACCTCAGTTTCTACAGAAATAATCTGAAACCTATGTGAACTATAACCTCACGCCCAGAGCCAAGCCAGTCGCTTCAACCTTGCAGTGGTTGGTTGTATAAAAGGTCACAAAAAGAATTTAAACATCCAAAACTACATACGTTCAGCTGCAGTGTGAGTAATTTTCCACCGCTCGAGGAAAAAAAATAAACATAAAAATGACCATGTCCTACAGGTCGAACAGAAACATACCGCATGCAGGGTTGAATTCCTACAACATTACATACTTTACTTTTTTTCCCTAAAAAAAAGAGGGAGAGAGAGAAAGAGAGAGGGAGAGAGAGAGAGCAAGGGGAAGACTGAGATCAGGTTTCAAAACCCAGTCTAAGTTTACATTTACACCCCATGGCTTTGTGACCCTACTCTCATTTATAACGCTACCCTTCTGCTATTTGCTTCCATCTTTGGTTTCCGGCTTTCTTTCTTCTTTATACTTCCTGCAAACAACACTTACTCAGGCTACAGTCCAAGCCGCCACCTGTATGCAACCATTACCAAATATTTGTATTGCCACATGCTAGCTGCCGATTGGGATCAACAGGTGTTTATGCAAGCACCTCTGGGCTAAGTCCCTCATCTCTCTGCATGCATTACGCCTACATAATTATACCCAAATATCTGAGTGCGTGCTGCTGTCAGGTCAGGCTCTGTGGACGTAGCTGGGGTTGAGCCAGGTCAGCAGCCCCAAGCATGGCATCCTCCAGCAGTGGCAACAGCAGCACACAGAGAGGCCAGTGTGCTCCCACCATCTGACCAACCTCACAGCCTAAGTGCCTCAGTTTCAGCTCCAACACAAAACACCAGTGTCTAGTTTCCCTTTAAATAAAACATACTCCACTCATTAGCTAAAAAGCCCCCCCACTCCTCCCTCCTTGTGCATAATTGAGCGCTAGGTATCAATTTAAGGCAATGAAGTGAGGTTAGAGCAGGACAGTACTATGTTTTTTTAGTTGTTTTGATTTGTTTCAACCAACAACCAAAGCATGAGTAAGTAAGGTACAACACAGCAATTTAATATGGTGATAACAGTAGTTAGGGTTTAGGGTTGTTTCTATCCAGTCCTCAGTATCTATTACAAGCTTATCAGTCAGCTGTCAACTCAGATATTGCTTATTATCTCCCACTGTTACCTAACATTCATGAACAGTAATAATAATGTCTATTAATAATAAGCTGCTAACATTAACGCATATAAAACCTCATCATATTACAAACTAAGGAAAACTATGCGATTTTAAAGGTTAAGGGTATAGATTAAGAATTACATCTAATTTACACACACACACATACATATATAATACATTTATTAAGTATTACAAAATAAATAAGTAGCGATATAAGCAGCCTAGATGGGCTTTGCTAAATACCACCAGATCCTACTACTGACCTCACCTCCCAGTAATAAAACTGAACTGAGACCAGCTGTAGCTTATTCGTGGACACTTTAACTTCCCACAGACACGAAAAACAACTTGTACAACAGCAACAAGAGGTCTGACTGTAAGGTGTCACTGTCATACAGGTATTCTGCGAACATTTTCACTAATAAACCAACAGGTTAACAGCTGACAACCGAAACTGAGCAGCCACAGCGATACTGGATGCACCTGCTTCCACCCTAAACTACCCTCAACGTACCTGCCGATTCCCGCTTCCTTCGCGGTCCTCAAACTGTAGCTTTACTCTTGGTTTGTTGTCTTCAGTGGGTTTCCTCTTCGTTTATCAGTGATAGTTACACTAACTAACTAACAAGGACGGCTCACCTGTATATGGTTAGCTGGCGTGTCTCGCAACCTCTGGTAATGAGCTTTCCTTTTCCTCCGTCCGCACTCAGCTTACCTTATTCCCTGGAGAGAGAAGCGGATGAAAGGTAACGGAGGACCAAGGTGGCCAATTAGACGTGGCGGGAGGCGGGCGAGGTGGAAATGCACGACATCCTATTGGTCAGAACACATTAATGGCGGAACAGTGGAAAAGTTAATTTCCCTGTATTGTTTTCATTTATAAAAGAGAGAGAGAGAGAGAGAGAGAGAAAGAAGGAAAGAGGCGCAAGCTGGAAGCAAGCTGAAGCTAAACTTCAAATATAAAAAGAGAAAATTTTGAAAATAAAATGATCTATAAGAAGCGACTAATGTTTAAAATGTGCCTAAATAATAAAACTAAAATGTGGCAAGTTGCCTTTACAAAGAGTTAATGTTCTCAGGCCGGTGCAATGTGGATTGAAAGGAGCTAATCATTTCTAAGAGGCTCTGCCATGCAAAGCTATATAAACTACTTTTGTCTCATGCACAGAAAGATTAACTAGGCACCTTTTTTAAATCTTACTGAAAGACACGAATTACTGAGGCCAAACAATTTGGGTGGTTTGGGATGTCATGAGCTCACTGTGAAGATATTCAGGGAAAGTCAGGTTACTCTAATGTCGTTTGTTACTGAGTCACAAACACTGTATGATCTCAGATTGCATTAGTTACTGTAAGCTCCATAAAGGCATATTCATGGACATGTAAAGGTATATTTAGTTCATGGACCACATTCAGTATAATTTAATTCTATAAACTATCTTCAAGCTAACTCTACAGTCAATATTTTTTCCTTAAACTCTGCATTGTTCTGTCTGTTCCTTTAAACTCCCTGATTCAAGATTAAATGAAGCACTTGGGGTGTCTCTTTTTAGTTATCCATCACCTCTGTGCATGTCACATGGTCTGACTAACAATCAACTGAAGTGGCAATCCACTGATAATATGGCAAAAAAAAAAAAAAAAAAGGACAGGATAACAGCAATGACAATAGCAACTAATGGCCACTTGGTGGCAATTCATTCACTGTGGAATGAAGCCTAGGCTTTGTCCTGGGTCAGCAGCCATCTGTGGTGTACACATCACTACATAGGGTTGATAAAATGATGTCACACTGTGTAAAAAGAGACTAGAGCTGGATAATTCAAATACAGCTTCATATGTGGTTCACCACTCTGATTACACACCACGACGGTTCATTATCACTGCTTAATGCAAAGTATTTTCACTAGATGTGGGAGTCACCAGTCACCCCACAAAATATGACCAGAATACTTCACTCACAATATATCATTGTGATTTTTTTTTTTTGACATTTTCCAATATCCTGAGTGTTGCAACAACATATACTGCTATTTATAACTTTTTTTCAACTGCAAGTTATGTCCTCAAAGTTAAACTATATCGGTTTTATCCAATAAGCTCAAGTTAACTCTCGTCAGGTATGTTTTTTTGCTGCAGAGTGAAATTGTCACATTTACACAGGAGTTACTTCAAACTGCAAGTGTTTGCAGAAAGGTTTCCTCCTATCAAGAGAGATGAGTACTTTTACTTTGTAATGTATATTGTGACTCCAGGACCTAACTTGTATTTGTATTTATTTAGGGTGTTTTATCTTTTCATTCTAGCAAGATTTGCCATTCTGATATTAAGTTTGGAAACAACAACAAACAATAATTGCAAGAGTTCATTATGCTTTACTACCACAGACAAATTTTGTAGACTGTTTCTTGAGATTGCATATTTAGAAATGAGGTAATCTTCCTTGTGCAAACTGTTTTAAGGGGGGAAATACTTCAGTCTAGATGGGTGTTAGTCCCATTTTAGTTTGCAGGCCACATACAGTATCATTTGATCTCATTTACCTCAAGCCACTAAAACTCACTGCATAATTACATTTCCAAAACGTTCCTTTCCTGTGTAAAGAAGTACACGGATTTTCTGAAAACATTTGCATTTAGTGAATCATCCAGACTTTTAACAGACTGAGATGTCTGGAAAAAATAGGAACAATTTCAACAATGGTCTCAGTTTTTCCACATTCAGTCAGCGTGTCATCGCAGAGAAATGCGTCTGCAGGGCCCCTCAGCTTATAAATATTACTTCAGTGTGGGATAGCAAGGTTAAATTGACAATGACTCAGACATTTGGCTTTGACTAAATTAACAGCTCTGATCACCACCCTTATGATGTGCTTGATTTTTTGCAACATGATGTGTTCCTGGTGAAAAATATGTCAAAAAGTCCACTAAAATAAGCCCTCATTCCCTGCAAGAATGCACTCTTTAGAGAAAGCAGTTCTGTTTTGTGTTTGTTTAACTGGTGCTCACTTCATTAAGTACACCTGTTCAACTGCTTGGTGACCTGGCAACAGCGTGTGGTCCAGGAGGACCTGCCAAGGTTCAAATGAAGCATCAGAAAAGGAAAGCAAGGGGATTTATTTTAGGGACTTTGAACAGAGTGTGGTTGTTGATGCCAGATGAATTAAGAGTTCCGGAGGCAAAACATGAAATTTATATATTGTTAAGACACAAAACACATCAGTTGCTTTAAACTACATCAAGTAGAAAATCTAAAGCTGATGGAAATGGGGAGAAAAAAAAGAAACAGCACTCTATTAAACATATCCATATATATTTTATTCTCAATACGGCAAAATACAAAGAATATTCAGGACAGACTTTTATTAGTCACAATTAATACTCACTTCACAAGAATGCTTTTAAATTACATTACCTAAGTTTGAAGATCAAACTTCAATGAGTACCTTTAATCATATTGCATCCATCATATATAGCATCTCTATCATCAGTTCTCTTAAAACTAATCCAATTTAGATTATTGTACATAGTGTATGCTGCTGGTCTCGGCTCTGAGACAACTTCTAGAAAAAAAAAGGTGTTATACAACTTACTGTATAAACTGCTACAACTGGTTTTGATGTGTAGAGAAATACCTCTGTTTCAAAAGACATGTTGGACCAATTGTTCAAAAGAGACACATAGTAAATATACCTCTCTGAGGAAGAAACAGACATGGTTTTACAGAACAGACTGTACACATGCCATCCATCCATCCCATGAGATCAACAATATACACTTCATGAAAAAGTACACAGCTCCATATCAAATACAGAGAAGACAAAATATTCGCACTTGGATCGAGAGACGTTAATGATTATGCGGCAACTGTGATACTGAGACAGTGAAGCAGAAGACAAAGAATACCAGCACAGTTAGAAAAAGGACTGAGAAAGCATTTGATATACAGAGTTAACAGACTAGGAGTGTAATCTGTAACCACTTGGAAGGAAAAAAAAAAATGTGCATAAAGTATATCTCACAAGTATATTTACAGCATTTTTAAATTTAATAAAAATGTCAACCTGTAGTAGAAATTCACCCTTAAAGAAATGTTATATTTACAATTTATACATTTGTATTTAAATAGAAACATGCAAGTGTTAACATTTTTCTACTGAATAAAAAAAAAAACAAAAAAAAAACCTCATCTTACCCTGGATTCTTTCAAGTTAGAATTAATATTAATTACAATGAAATCTCATCCTGAACAACCCCGTTACATTTACACCTTCCCATTTCATAAAACGGTGCTCATTAAAAAGGCAAAATAGGAAAGAAACATTAAGCAAAAGGGGCAGAAAAATAAATAAGTATGAGTAGCAAATCGTTAAAAATTTTCTCTAATGCTAAATTTTTATTTTTTTCGTTTTAGGATATTTTTTTTTAATTCATTTCTTTTTTACATTTGAGTACAAGATAGTGTAGGGAACACAAGGCGCTGACCTCTACTTACAAAGTGTACCAGTGTATGAAGACATTGACTGGGCTGGCAAAACCCACAGAGGAATTCCTATGAGAAAAGTGGCCTCCAGCTTTAAGTAGAAAATGGCTAAAGCCATCTGTGTTTGGTTATAAAATCAGATCTATACACACACATCCATGCACCCACACATGAACACGCGCACACACACACACACACACACACACACACACACACACACACACACACACAGCCAAGCTCGCATACTAAACCAGTACACAAAATTGCAATAGCTAAAGGCATTGGATTTGAGTTCAACAGGTTTCTCACTGAGGTGGGAAAAAGAAAGTGGGGGACAGAGGAATCCCAAACATAAAAATATAATTATTTTTTCCACAGAAACAGTTTCTTTTTTTGTAAAAATCCTGCATAGATTAAAATAATACCTCCTATGACTTGCTTCTTTCTTTTTTTTTTTCAAGTGTAAGAGAAAATAACAGTATCCCTTCCTACAACAAAGGCCAGGGAGCCAGTAAAAGAAAAAAAATGACAAGAAAAAAAACAGGAAAAAAAGGAAGGGTCAAACCTGGGCCAAACAGCATTTTGTTTAGTCTTGACATGCAGGGGGAAAAAATAAATTAAAAAAGGCATTATAGATCTTTCTGGCACGTTCTTGTCCAGCCAAAACAAAATGAATGCCATCTGGTCCAGGCTTTAGTATTTCCAGCATATTTTGATAGAAAGTGGGCTTGAAACAACCAAAATGGACAGTTCATGTAAGTGAATTACTGTAAAATCCAAATGCCAACTAAAAATCAACGCAATGTTAACATACTGCGCCAGCTACTATCTTGTAATACAAGTGCGATTACAGTTTGACAACTTTAAATAGGAACATATACAAATACTTGTTCTTATAACCTCTGTTGTAACCCTGCTTTATGCGTCTGACATGTTATACTTTTGCTTGGCTAGAAGGAAGTAAAAGAAACTGGTTGGTATATAAATAAAATCTATATTGGTTTTTATACTTTTTCTTGAAATATATAATGATAGATTTAAAACTCTGCTGTATAAATACAACACTGATCATCTGCATCGCTGATGAGTTCCATTCCCCAGACAACATATTTCCCTTCAAATAAATTAGCTTCTGTTCAGCCAAATTAGCGGCAACTTAGGCCCAGTTTTTATAAAATGTACTGTGACTGCATTGGATGTGGACATGATCTTCAATACTTAAACACCCCCTGC